AATCTTCTGGGCTCTGGTAATAACCCTCTGGAGCGCTCTCCTGTCTGCAGCTGTGCAACTGGCGAACCAGGCACAGACACAGACACAGTATGTTAAAATGCTCTCTATTGAGCAGTGATAGAAGGACACCAGCAGTTTCTCATTCAGATTGTTTTTCTTCAAAAGACTGAGAAAATACAATCTCTGCTGGGCCTTCTTCACCAAAGCAGTGGTATTTGCGCCCCAAGTCAGGTGCTGCTCAAAGGTAACACCCAAGAACCTAAAGACGGCCACCCTCTCCACCTGATCTCTGTCGATGAACAGTGGCTTAATATCCGTTTTATTCCTCCTAAAGTCCACTACCAGTTTCTTGGTCTTGGCGGTGTTGAGGATCAAGTTGTTTTCCCCACACCAGCCACAAAGCCGCTCTACCTCGTCCCTGTAGGCGGACTCATCGTTCCTTGAGATAAGCCCCACCACAGTAGTGTCATCAGCGAACTTAATGATGGTATTGCTGGTATTGCTGGGTGAATTAACCCTCTCCAAACTAGATTTAAATTTGTGTCACTGTGTGCTTTTGTTTTTAGTAATTGATTTATACTGCAAATAAAATTATGCCTCTACCCTGGGTCCCAGCCTCAGGCCCATAGTGCTTTGAGTTCTATGTCTGCATTTTTAAGAGCCCAAGCATTTGTGATGATTTTGCCCCACTGCTATTGTGTTTCCATCTTCCAGTGGTGACGTAACTGTGACTTGATGCCATGTACAGTACATGTACATGTTATAGAGTTTGCTGCAAGAGTTGAACATTTTTCTTATTTACTTTATTTTATTTTTTGTAGATTATGAGTTTTCAAATGGCTGTCGTGCCCCTCTGTGGAGACAGTTGCATGGTGAGATTTGCTACCTTATCATTGAGCCTTATGACAGTGAAGACTTCTACATCACCTGTAGCAACGCTGGAGTTTTTCTCAATGGGGTAAGACAAGGCAGATACAGTAAAGCACTGTTGATTACTGTTGTGGTACTTGATGTAATGTAGTAAAGCACTGTTGATTACTGTTGTGGCACTTGATGTAATGTTCTCTGTGTGAAAAAATGTTCTGGCATATAATTTCTGATTGTATGGTTGGTTAAGTGGCAGCTAATTCTCTTCTGTGCTTCTGCTTCAGTGGTTTTGAAAACTTTTTTATTCAGTTAGTACTGCTCTTCAGGCAGAAATATTAAACATAGTTACAAATGGAAGACTTTAACTAAATTTAATTTCTGTGTGTGACAGTTTCTCAGGCCATTTATTGAGCTAGATAAATTACTGCAGGTGCACAGCTGCAAAGTTAGGCATCAAACATAACTTATTGAACAGTACAATGCTCCTACACTATGCTGATCTCATATTAATTGAAGATATGATCCATGACCCAAATGTAAAGAAAATCAAAAGCATCAAAATTCAAAGCCTTATCTTTTTTATTTTCTATTTTTCACTTATTTAACCAGGTAATGTCACTTAGAGAGTAACGTCTCTTTTTCAAGAGACACCTGTGCAATTGGGCAGCATTAAAATATTGTTACAGTAATAAATCAGACAACATAAAGAGTGACAACTCATCTGCTACAAATGAGTATACAGAAGGTGCATTCATGATGAGCAGATTACTGTAATCTGAAACTGTAAAAAAGTTGCAGATGCACATTTAGAATATGTGAACTATCACTGGACAACATCAAAATTTGTTTACTGATGTTAGTATAGTGTGATTAAATAGAACATTAAAATTCATCAAAATGTTACACTTGTAAAGATGCCTGTATAAGTCACTTGGCTTTAAGTGTACCCTCAAAAATCCCCTAAGTGTACTCTTAGCAAGTATTTGGAAGCTCTCTATATACTGTAAATGTCAGAAATGTCTCTAAATGTGTTTGCAGTCATCTCTAAAGCCCCATTCAGGCAGGAGTTATTTCTCTAGGGGAGGTAGTGTAATTTTAACATTACCTGCTGTTGTCAGTGATTTCAACCAGTCTGGAGTGTTTATTGTATGTTCAACACTAGTAACATTTACATCCAATATTAACTAGTGTTTGCTCCTGTCATTTTAAAAGTCCCTGTATTTCAAAGTGGATCTGAGTTTGTTTCTGTGGGAAGAGCTACTTGTTCTTATGTTTATATCAGCTCAGTACAAAGTTTGATCTGATGGATGGAAACATGCTAACACCAACATAGAGGCCTATTTATGAGACAAAATAACAAAGGAGAAAAAGCCATGAGGACATTGCAGACCCCATGATACAGTAGCTTATCAAATAGACTGTAGGCCATAGGTATTATCCTTTGAGCCAACTTGTAGCCTTAGCCAAATTGAGCAAATTGGTATAATTAAAAGTATGCCAAATTAGCTATTAGCAGTTCTTGCTGGCAGTGTATTAATGGATATATAGAAAGCTATACTGGATTATTTTGATACTGAAAAAAACTTAAAAATGTGATGGTTCTTGGGCTTCTCTTCAGCATCTTTTCTAAGAGATTTTTAAATGGATTTATGTCCATTTATATTTGATGGACATCTGGCATCCTGTTAGGTGCCGTTCGCACCAGTCAGTGTGCGAACGAGAAAGAGGCGGGCCCAGGTAGCAGACTTCAGTGCGTGCAAGTGATTTATTATATACAGTGATGAAGGGAAATAGTACGTAGTCCTGTCGATGAGTAGTAGTCGGGTGTTTGACCAACCACAGGAGGCGAGGAGATGGATAGCTGGGCCGAGCTGCGTAGGCTGGGTCACTCCTGGGCTGGTCGGCGGTGATGGTGGTTACTGAAGGTAGAGACAGAGAGATGAAGGCAATACTGGAACAGATAGGCGACTGTCCATTGACCTGCCTGGGAGGAGAGAGTGGAGCCACGGTCTGGAGGAACAGTCCTTCGGGGAAACACAAAACAGTAGCTGGCTAGGGGATAAATACATACAAAACAATGAAAACGCACGGAGTAAAGTTGGCCTAGAGACTAGAACGAACTGGCAAGTGACTGAGGAGTGAAACCGGGTAATATAGTGAGTAACCTAATCAAGTGCAGCTGGTGATAAGGGAGTGAGGAACAGGTGAATGTGATAAAGAGTAATTGGGCAAGAGACAGTAGGAAAGGTGAGGGAGGCCAGAGCGGCCGAGCAAACCTGACACATCCTTAGGAAATGTAAGTCACAATGATTGATATCATTATGTGTTTCATGTAAGATTTGACTAAGTTGTGACTCTGAGAAAAAGTACAATTGACCTCATAGTATTTTTGGCCCCCCATCTCAACTTTCTTGTGCCTTCCTGAGGAAACTTTTGAGTTTCTTTTTTGCTTTTGCTTTGCTGAATGTTATAGACCATAGTGTACATTTTTCATAGTTTAAAATTGTCTAGTGCAATTAGTTGAATTATCAGGGTTCAGAAGGAATATTTTTTTACTCCATTCTGTCTGAAAAGAGCTTAAGGTAGGATTTTGCATGGTGTAGCACATTTTATTCTTTAAGTGGCTTTGCTGACAAGCTGTAGGTTTCCTCTCTTGGTTTCTTCACCTGGAAATAGTCTGGCAATAGTGAAAAACTTGCAACCTGAAACCAAATGGATAACACTGATGCAATAGTAACCTCAAAGAGCAGTAGTGTCTTAAATATAATTTAGTGGTTTACATGGTTTTACACTTCCTGTTTGAAGCTGCCTAGAAATACTGAGCTTTCTAACCTCTGGTATTCCAGCTCACATGTGGATCACATTATAATTGGGGTTTTAGAATTACTGAGAATTACTGTTTCTCACATTGTTTTCACAGGGCATAAAACAGGTGGGCGAGCAGAGTGGTTATGATCGAACAAGTGATGTGTACAAGGACCTGGTAACACTTCTGAAGAGCAGATCTCCACATTTTGCTGAGAACATAAACAACCAGGTACAGTGGAATATAGACAGATTCAGTTATCATTGACACCTTAATACCTCCTTTTTTTTCAGCCTTGAATTTTATGAATTCAAGTAAAGATATAGTATATGGATATTGAAATGCCTCTTTGTTCCATGAACAAGGTTGTTCTCTCTCTGAACCTGTGATTTAATCATGGATGCAGTGTAACTCATACTCTTAGAGTCAGGATTGTGTAATCATTGTCTGTGCTGTTCCATGCTAGTGAGCTAGTGTCTGGTTGTCACTGTGCTGAAAAATTTCGAAATCATACTCCTCCGTTTTCCAACATCAAAAAGACAGAGCCCCATGCACTGCACTGCACACGCACACACCTACACACACACACACACACACGCACACGCACACACACACACAGTTGTGTTACTAACAGTTGTGACAGTTGTGAGGTCACTCAAATAATGCATTTTCTAGCCCCTTACCCTATCCTTAAGCATAATTCTAACCCGATTCCTAAAATCATGTCTTAACTCACAAACAGTCTTTTGAAGGACCAGCTAAAATGTCCTCACCATGAACATAGTGTCAAGTCAAGTAAATACGATTACAAACAGTATTACCAAATTTTACTCTGAAAACAATAATCAGTAATACATGTCTGAGTAAATAATTTACAAATGTCTACAAGGACTGACATACTGTTTTTTCCCCAATGATTTTTTAAAAAACCTATTTGATGTCTGAAAGGCTAGAACATTTTCCAAAGCCACTCTGCATGTGAACTTCCTTTGGGACAAAAGCCAAATTCAACAGAAATATATAAAAATCTAAACAAAATACTTTTGGAATTATGCGGAGGGATTTAACATGCTAGGATTTACTTGGACAGCCAGTGCAGTACTGTACACTGACTGCCAAAGTTGTTTTCTTTCGACACTCAGTATTTTTATTATTAACCACTCTAGCAGCATTTTTTTTATTGGAGCAAATCAACACATTAACAAAACAGTACTGAACATGGGAGATAAGACAACAATTACATGACATTACAAAAGAATATAGAGTGTTTAACAAGGTTGTAGTGTGTGAAGTGTGGGTATTTCCAACTTATACAGAAATGCAAGAAAGGGAAAAGGAGGGGAAATAAATAAATAAAAAATTACCAATAATAATGATGATAACAGTACTACTAATAAAATAAGCTTGTTACATTTTAGAGGTTGGTGGGAATGTGCGTGGCCTCAGCCCCAGCTGTTTGGTTCAAGTTGAAATGTGTTAAAAATGGGTTCCATGTGTCATAAAAAGCTGATAAACTATTCTTGTGAGTGGATGCCATTTTCTCTAATGTGATGTATTCTATCAGAAGGTTGGTCCAGTGGTTTATGTGTGGTGGTTTTTTTGATTTCCAGTTTTGAAAGATTGCTTTCTTGGCAATAGCTAGAGAAATGAGGAGTGGGTTTTTGTATTTGATTGGTAGGTGGTCAACGTCTGTGATATTACCGAGTAAGCAAAGTGATGGAGAAGGAGGGATTCTACAGCCCAAGATGGTGGAGAGTTTCTTTGTCACTGCTATTCAGAGGGAATGAACTGGTTGGCAGGTCCAAGTAGCGTGAAAATAATTGTCGGTGCACAGCTACAGTAAAATTGCCATGAAGAAGTATTTTTGGAGGCACAAATCATTGTTTAGTTCTTTTTGTTCTGGATTTTGTTTTACTCCTTTGATACAATATATGCCTCAGTGTCCTGCAACATTTGTTTCACTCTCATTGCTCAATATTTTAAGTTTAGAAAATTTCTGAATACAAACATGAATGTCCTGGAGAAGCTAAACATTTTGATACCTGAAAGTATGCTGAGTGTAGAATTTCCCCATTCATTTGAATGGGGCAAAACTTTCAAAATAAAGCTATATATTTCAAAGGTATAAGGTTTAGAAAAATCCTTAAGACAAGCATGGATGCCCTTGAAGAGCTGAACATTTTGATACCTGATATAGCTGAAAGTATGCTGAAGTAGAATTTTCCCATTCATTTGAACTGGGCAACATTTTCAAAATAAAGTTAAATATTTCAAAAGTATGAAGTTTAGAAAAATTGTGAATAGAAGCATGAATGTCCTTGAGGAGCTTAACATTTTGATAGCTGAAAGTATGCTGAAGTAGAACTTTCCTATTCATTTCAATGGGGCATGATTTTCAAAATAAAGCTATATATTTCAAAGGTATAAAGTTTAGAAAAATCCTTAAGACAAGCATAGATGTCCTTGAGGAGCTGAACATTTTGCTAGCTGAAATAGCTGAAAGTATGCTGAAATAAAATTTCCCCATTCATTTGAATGGGGCAAAACTTTCAAAAAAAAGCTAAATATTTTAAAAGTATGAAGTTTAGAGAACCTCTGCATAGAAGCATGAATGTCCTTGACGAGCTGAACATTTTGATACCTGAAATAGCTAAAAGTATGCTGAAGTTGAAATTTCTCATTCATTTGAATGGGGCAAGATTTTCAGAACAAAGCTAAATATTATAAATGTATGAAGTTTAGAAAAACTTTGAATAGAAACATGAATGTCCTTGAGGAACTGAACATCTTATCTTGATACCTGAAATTATGCTGAGTGTAGAATTTCCCCCAGTCATTTGAATGGGGCAAAACTTTCGAAATAAAGCTATATATCCCAAAGGTATAAGGTTTACAAAATCCTGAAAAGAAGCATCAATGTTCTTGAGGAGCTGAACATTTTGATACCTGAAATAGCTGAAAGTATGCTGAAGTAGAATTTCCCTATTCATTAGAATGGGGCAAAACTTTCAAAATAAAGCTAAATATTTCAAAAGTATGACCCTGTAAAGCCCAACATATCAAAAAATAGGCAGAACATTCTAATTTTTTGGAACTGAGATGTTTATTAAACCTTTTTAACAAAATCCAAAATATAATTCATGATTCAAAATTCAAGATTCACGATTTTTATTTGCCACATACATATGCATAGACAGACAGTCCAGGCATATAAGAATAGGGGTGCCATATTATTTAGATTATTTCTATTTCTTTTGTATCACATTTGATACATGGGGAATTTTGGTGATTTTTTTTTTACTCAGAAACCTGATGTATCAAATATGATACAAATGGTTTTATAGGGTTAATATTTCGAACGTATGAAGTTTAGAAAAATTCTGAAGAGAAGCATGAATGTCCTTGAGGAGCTGAACATTTTGCTACTCGAAATAGCTGAAAGTATGCTGAAGTAGAATTTTCCCATTCATTTGAATGGGGCAAGATTTTCAAAATAAAGGTAAATATTTCAAAAGTATGAAGTTTAGAAAAATTCTGAATAGGAGCATGAATGTCCTTGAGGAGCTGAACGTTTTGATAGCTGAAAATATGCTTAAGTTGAATTTCCCCATTCATTTTAATGGGGCAAATTTTTCAGAATAATTGCTAACTATTTAAAGAAGTATGAAAGTTGTAAAAAAAAACTTGAAAACATGCCATACTGTCTTGAAAAACCTGAACATTTTGATACCTGAATGCTTTTTCTAGCTGAAAGTATACTGAGCTTATTAAGATGTGGACATTTTCTGATTGGTCCCCACAAAGTATGTAAAACAAGTAGGGTTATGTGTGTGGGGGTGTGTGTGTAGGTGTTTGTGTGTCTGTGTGTATGTGTGTGTGTGTGTATGAGAAAGAGAGAGTATTTCTACACACTGAGAAATACTAGTGTGGCTATTGAAATGAGACATAAAATGTAAATGGTCGTTATGCAAAAACCACAAAACATATCAAAAAGCTGTTTACGATATGAATAGCTGAAGAGTTGCTTAATAGTTATTAGTTGAAATGGTGGTTTTAACTGAAGGTATGCTGAAGATATTAAGATGTGAAAATTTGTCCTATTCTTTTTCAATTGAAAATTTGTTGTGAAAAAAGCTGAATTTATTAAAAAGTATGAAAGTTATAAAAAAAAGTTGAGTACACACCATAATGTTCTTAAAAAGCTGAACAGTTTGATACCAGAATTGGTTGTCTAGCTGAAAGTATGTGGGAGGAGATGAGGGCCAAAAACGTACGGAAAAAACAATAATAAAAACTGGAAGCCAAGAGTGTGGCTCCATAGCATCCACACAATAAAAATGGAAAACAAGAGTGTGGCTGCACAGCATCCACACAATAAAGAACAGGATAACATAGTATGGATGCTTTTCAGCATCCATACAATAATAAAGAATAGGATAACAATAATAAAGCATTATTGTAATCCTATTCTTCTGGTGGTTAGGGGTATATTCTCCTTCAAGGAGGGGATAATAAAGCATCCCCTCCTTAAACCGCCACCTTATTGTGGTGGAGGGGTTTGAGTACCCGAGTGATCTAGGAGCAATGTTGTCAGGGGCTATATGCACCTGGTAGGGTTTCCCAAGGCAAATAGGTTCTAGGTGATGGGTCAGACTAAGAGTGGTTCAAAACCTCTTATGAAAAAATCAAAATCAAAGATCATGACATCACCCGGTATGGCGTAACCGGGGCGCCACCCTGGAGCCAGGCCCGGGGTTGGGGCTCGAATGCGAGCGCCTAGTGGCCGGGCCATGGGGGCCGGTCGGGCTTAGCCCGAATGAGTGACGTGGGGACATCCTCCCGTGGGCCCAGCACCTGCAGGAGGATTGGTAAGGGGCTGGTGCAA